TTTGCAAGGCCATCTTCAACTTAGTAAATTTGTTGTTGGTAGTGTATGGATGTAGCAATTTTGAAACTATTTTGTGTCTATTATAGAATTGAGAAAATGAGTGAATACCTTGATGTTAGAAACCAGGGATCTCACTGTAAGAGAATAAAGATGCAAATATGGAATGGGGGAGAGGAAGCAAGAACACTGTGGTGTTGGGTTTTATTTATATCTATAGATAGATGATAAAGAGATAGAATGATGGTAGATGGATGGGTAGATAGATAGATAGGTAAAGGGGCCTAGAAGTAATGGTACCCTAGGAACAGTGAGCACATCAGTGCCCAGATTTCGGTTTCTAAATACTATTCTCTGCTACAAAGAACCAGGACTCCTCAGAGAAATGGCTGATTCCAAGACTAGGGCAAGGAAGATACAAGGAGAGCCTGGAACCTCTTGTGCCAAGAGGTAGAAAAGTGCTCAAAAAAATTATGGGAGGGAGGGAGACGCAAGAGGGAAGAGATATGGGAACATATGTATATGTATAACTGATTCACTTTGTTATAAAGCAGAAACTAACACACCATTGTAAAGCAATTATACTCCAATACAGATGTAAAAAGTAAAATAAAATAAAATAAAATTATGGGGACATGCATGTTGAAAAAACACAGAGGAGACAGCATGAGGGGGTTTCCTACTAGCCAAATCTGGAAAATTTTGAACAAAATGAATAGTAGTAGTAATGGATTATAAGACACTGAATCTAAAAGGATCCCATAAGTCTATACTGATATACATAAATGAGTGAGAGGAAAGATCTTGTTTACAATATATTGCCAAGTATTTAAATGGAATGTTAGTTAGAAAATCACCATTTTGCAGCCACCAAAGTAATATGACTCAGATAGGAATCATCAATGGAAGCTGCAAGCACTGAGTTAATGTTTGTGGGGGAACAGGATACCCACACAGTCTCAAAGTATCTCCCACAGATTATTTATTAATTACAAGAGGGAACTGGTACGTTTGAAGTGGAGAGATCTGGCTGACATCACCTCAACCAGATGATCAAAAACATCACCAATAATGGGACAAAGTGCCATCAAATGCCCCTGATGTGAAACACTGAGGAGGTGAGAACATCACTTACATAGAATTCCTGCCAAGAATACATAACCTGAATTCAGTCATGAAAACACATTCAGACAAACCCAAACTGAAGGACATTCTACAAAATAAATGGCCTGAAATATCAATGACATAACAGACTGAAGTAGGCTGAGGTCTTTTTTTTTTTAATTGAAGTGTAGTTGATTTACCATGTTATGCCCATCTCTGCTGTGCAGCAAAGTGACTCAGTTATACACACATACACATGCATTTTAAAAATATTTTTAATTTTTATATTTTTTATATTTTCCATTGTGGTTTATCCCAGGAGATTGGATATGGTTCCCTGTGCTATACAGTAGGACCTTGTTCTTATCCATTCTAAATGTAATAGTTTGCATCTACCAACCCCAAACTCCTAGTCCATCCCTCTCCCTCCCTCCCTTCCCCTTGGCAACCCCAAGTCTGATCTCTATGTCTGTGTGTCTATTTCTGTTTCATACATAAGTTCATTTGTGTCATATTTTAGATCCACATATAAGTGATATCATGTGGTATTTGTCTTTCCCTTTCTGACTTCCTTCACTTAGTATGATAATCTCTAGTTGCATCCATGTTGCTGCAAATGGCACTATTTCATTCTTTTTTATGCCTGAGTAGTATTCCATTGTATATATGTACTACATCTTCTTTATCCATTCATCTGTCAATGGACATTTAGGATGTTTCCATGTTTTGCCTATTGTAAATAGTGCTGCTATGAACATAGGGGTGCATGTATCTTTGAATTATAGTTTTGTCCGGGTATATGCCCAGGAGTGGGACTGCTGGATCATATGGTAATTCTATTTTTAGTTTTCTGAGTAACCTCCATACTCTTTTCCATAGTGGCTGCACCAACTGACATTGCCACAAGCAGTGTAGGAGGGTTCCCTTTTCTCCACACCCTCTCCAGCATATGTTACTTGTAGACTTTTTTTTTTTAATCTTTGGCTTAGGTGGGTCTTTGTTGCTGCACGCAGGCTTTCTCTAGTTGCAGTGAATGGGGGCTACGCTTCGTTGCGGTGCGCAGGCTTCTCGTTGCAGTGGCTTCTCGTGTTGCAGAGCACGGGCTCTAGGCGCACGGGCTTAGTTGCTCTGAGGCATGTGGGATCTTCCCAGACCAGGGCTCGAACTCGTGTCCCCTGCATTGGCAGATTCTTAACCACTGCGCCACCAGGGAAGCCCCTAGACATTTTAGTGATGGCCATACTGATCGGTGTGAGGTGGCACCTCACTGTAGTTTTGATTTGCATTTCTCTAATAATTAGTGATGTTGAGCATCTTTTCACGTGCCTATTGGCCATCTGTATGTCTTCTTTGGTAAATGTCTGTTTAGGTCTTCTGCCCATTTTTGGATAGGGTTTTTTTTGTTGTTGAGTTGTATGAGCTGTTTGTATATTTTGGAGATAAAGCCCTTGTCAGTCACATCATTTGCAAATACCTTCTCCCAGTCCATAGGTTGTCTTTTTGGTCCCCCCATCCCCACCCAGCAGCATGCAGGATCTTGGTTCTCTGACCAGGGATTGAACCCGCGTCCCCTGCAGTGGAAGCACGGAGTCTTAACCACTGGACCACCACAGAAGTCCCTATCTTTTCGGGGGGTTTTTTGTTTGTTGTGTTTTTAAAAATTAATTAATTTTTGGCTGCATTGGGTCTTCATTGCTGCACACAGGCTTTCTCTAGTTGCAGCGAGCAGGGATACTCTTGTTGCAGCGCACGGGCCTCTCACCGCAGTGGCTTCTCTTGTTTCAGAGCACGGGCTCTAGGCGCCCGGGCTTCAGTAGCTGTGGCTCACCGGCTCTAGAGTGCAGGCTCAGTAGTTGTGGCGCACGGGCTTAGTTGTTCCACGACATGTGGGATCTTCCCGGACCAGGGCTCAAACCCATGTCCCCTGCATTGGCAGGTGGATTCTTAACCACTGTGCCACCAGGGAAGTCCCTCTTTTTGTTTTTTTAATGGTTTCCTTTGCTATGCAAAAGCTTTTAAGTTTAATTAGGTCCCATTTATTTTTATTTCTACTGCTTTGGGAGACTGACCTAAGAAAACACTGGTATGATTTATGTCAGAGAATGTTTTGTCTATGTTCTCTTCTAGGAGGTTTATAGTGTCATGTCTAACGTTTAAATCTTAAGCCATTTTGAGTTTTTTTGTGTGTGCATGGTGTGAGGGTGTGTTCTAACTTTATTGATTTACATGCGGGCTGTCCAACTTTCACAGCACCACTTGCTGAAGAGACTTTTTCCCATTTTATATTCTTGCCTCCTTTGTCAAAGATTAATTGACTGGGGGAGGGTGGGAGGGAGGGAGGGAGACGCACGAGGGAAGAGATGTGGGAGCATATGTATGACTGATTCACTTTGTTATAGAGCAGAGGCTAACACACCATTGTGAAGCAATTATACTCCTGTAAAGATGTAAAAATATATATATATATATAAGATCACTATGTTGTACACCTGAGACTAATATAGTACTGTAAGTAAACTATATATAAAAAAAAAGATTAATTGACTGTAGGTGTGTGGGTTTATTTCTGGGCTTGGTGAGGTCTTGAGATTGAAGGAGGAAGGGCTGATTCCAAGGCTGACTACAGGCATGCTAAGTAAATGCAACGCATGGTCCTGGATTGGGTCCTTAAAGGACGTTATTGGGCCAATTAGCAAAATTTAAAAATAGGTAGTGTATTAGATAATATACTGTATCAATGTTAAATTTCCTGAATTTGGTAGGTATACGTGGTTATATAAGAGAATCTCCTGTTCTTAGGAAAAACATGCTAGATATTTAGGGGTGAAGAAGGGCCAGGATGTCTGCAACTTACTCGCAAATAGTTCATTAAAAAAATATACCGGGCTTCCCTGGTGGCGCAGTGGTTGAGAGTCCGCCTGACAATGCAGGGGACGCGGGTTTGTGTCCCGGTCCGGGAGGATCCCGCATGCCGCGGAGCGGCTGGGCCCGTGAGCCACGGCCGCTGAGCCTGCGCGTCTGGAGCCTGTGCTCCGCAATGGAAGAGGCCACAACAGTGAGAGACCCACGTACCGCCAAAATACATATATATATATATATATACCTACAGTATATATTTTTTCACTCCCTTGTTGTCTTTTTCTCCTCTTGCCACCATCTGGCTGATTCTCTCCTGGAGTTTCTCAGTTCAAATTCCTGAGAGAGAGAACTGTGCTTGGGTTGGATCCTCTCCACCACCCCTCTTTGGGCAGAGCACTTTGCACTAGGAAACCTCATAGGTCCCTGACAAGCCTCAGATTGGCTACCTAAGGTCAGATGCTCACCCCTTGTCCAATCAACTCTGGCCCAGAGTGCATCATGTGGTACATAACACAGCTGCCACCACTGCTCCCTCCATGGAGGTGGTGGGCAAGAAGATCTCCTTCCTTATAGGGTTTGGCAGGCCCCGTGCTTGGTCTAGCCAGTAGACACTATCTCCCAACTACCTGAGTTAATTCCAGAGACACCTGAAGGCCTCCACACCTAACTTTGTGCTTCATTCTCACCCTTACTCTTTTAGCAAATGTTATAGAAAGATGCCTGCTCTGGGCCAGGTCTTGTGCTAGGTACTAGGGGCACAGAAGTGACCCAGTCCCTACTCCTGAGCTCTGACTCAAGCTGGAAATGCATGAAGAACTCCGATAACTGAAGGTCAGAGCTGAATCACGACCAACAAACAGAAGGCAGTCAACGCTGGTTGAGGCCCGAGTCCCATGGAACACAGAGATGGGGTCCAAAAGGCCTCCTGGATGGTAGCACTGGCTGTGGCTCATGGGAGGGAAAAGGGCTATGAAACAGGGACCTGGCTGCTGGGAGGGTGCCCAGTGCCATCCCTGGGTTTCTGTTTTCTCTTCGCACAGCCGGACCCGGCAGGACGGGACATCTCCATCCGCCCTCTCCTAGAGCACTGTGAGAACACCCACATGACCATCTGGCTTGGCATCGTCTATGCCTATAAGGGGCTTCTCATGGTAGGTGCAGAGCGGGAGGCAGAGCGGGGGAAATGCTTCTCTGCCAGAGCTCTCTCTCCTAAGCGCCTCCATCAACATAAAAATAAACAGAGCCCCCAGGACTAAGCACTGGCTCTTTGCCAGTCTCGGTGCCTGGCACGTGTCATTTCAATCCCACAACCATCACATGAGATAGGTACAAATAATGTCCCCATTTCACTGTGAGTGTGCCTCCCAGCTGCTACTGTCCTGCTCCCTGACAGCAGTCTGTTGGTACCCAGCGCACATTCACATCCTGTGGGAGATGAGTGGAATCATCTCCATTTGGAGATGGGGGAAATCAGGCTCAGACAAGTTAAATGATTTGCCAAAGGCCGCCTGGTAACCTCCAATTTCCAAACCCAATACTCTTTCCACTCCATTCATCTGTTATACAAAGATCACATACCAAGCCCACCTCACACGACTGTGGAATTTCAGTTAGGAAGAACTTGAAAGGGCAGTCCCACCCGACCTTATTCTGGGTTGACCCCTGAATCTTCTCTTCACATCCTGTGCAAACCATGCCTGCAACTGCACCCTCCTCAGATCCTTGCACAGTGAAGTGAAGCCGCGATCGGCCTCTGTGGCAGAGAGGAGGCACACAGAGCCCCTGTGAGAGCAGGCATCTGGAGCACCCATCCAGCTCTGACGCACATCGCCAAGGGACCCCAGGCAGGCCATTTGGCCTTGCCTAGCCTCTGCTTCTTCCCCTCCAGGATGTGGAAAGCCACACCCAGCTGTAGGATTGAAGGCACTGCACGTGAAGGAACCAGCACGAAGCAAACTTTCAACAGCGTGGTTTCCATCCCTCACCCAGTATCTGCTTCCTGGGCTTCTGGTTCCTATTTTAATTGGAACTGAAAATAATAAATCAGTCTGTGAGATAACACACTTAAAGGAGAGAAAAACAACTATGGTTGTAAAAAATACCAATTACAAAATAATTAACTTACTCTTATAATGGATGTAACAGTTTACAACATGCTTTCACATCCATCCTCTCATTTCATCTGGACAGAAGCCCTGTGAGATAGTGTAGGCCCTTGGGATGATGTTACATGGTTCATGCAGGTGTTGGATGCCCCAGACTTCAGAGATAAGGCCAGAGGGAAAGGAAGCCTTTGCAGGACAGCCTCCTGGAGGGGCTGGACCACAGCCGAAGCCCCTGCAGCAGTCAGCAGCTGTGGTCAGCTCTCCCTCCTGCCCACACCACCATTCTACCCAGCATTCCATCTGCACTTTCTCTGCAGCCTGCCTTCCCCTCAGACAACACATGATAGCTAAACCCTCAACACCCTACTTTACATCACATTTGACTTCTACCCTATTCATTTCTGTTGGAAATGTATTGGTTAGCAGTAGAGCTGCAAGTGACAGAAAACCCACAATAATAGTAGTTTTTTAAAAAGATAATTGCCTTCTCAGGTAAGCAAAAGGGCTGGTGTGGAGGCTACTAGAATCTGAGTTCCTTGCATCTTGTCTTCCTCATCTTCATCATACAGCTTCCACATCATGGTCTAAGATGACTTTATGATCTAAAATGGCTGCTCAAGCTCCAGCCATCACATTCCACTCCATCTGCTAGGAAGGTGGAAGAGGAACAGCCTTTTCCTCTAAAGACACTTCCCAGAACTTTTACACACCACTTCCACCTACATGGCATTGTCTAGAACCCAGTCATATGCCACACCTAGCTTCAAGGATGGCTAGGAAATGTAGTCTCTCTACTCTGGGTGGCTATGTGCATTGGGGGGTCCCAGACACAGGGGCTCTGCCTGGTTTAACAGAAAAAAAACTAGCCTTAACTTCTAGAGACACAGTCCACTGTTGCCACCATATTGCTCTGTGGCCTTGGGCAAGCCCCTTCCTCTCTTCTGGGCCTTCAGGTTCTCTGTAGAGGGAAGGCATATGGTTGAGATTGTGTCTGAAGTTCTTTCCCACTGTGGCCTCCTGTGGGTCTGTGTGTGAACCAGTGGTGGAGGTGAAGGAGGACCAGACAGTGTAACACCCCAGTCTGCATTTCCTTGGCAGGACTCAACCCAGGGCCACAAGTGGAGACAGATTGTGGAGACAGATTATCCACAAGACCTGGCCAGCAGCAAACCCCCAGCCTCCCTCCCCCCAAGCCCCCACTTCAGAGTAGTGGGGAGGAACAGAATAACCCTTAGTTCAGTAGCTTCTCAGAACGGGAGTGTATGCCGCCACGTGGTAATGACCGTCTCCCTTTTCTGTTCACCGTTCCAGTTGTTCGGTTGTTTCTTAGCTTGGGAGACCCGAAACGTCAGCATCCCCGCACTCAATGACAGCAAGTACATTGGGATGAGCGTCTACAACGTGGGGATCATGTGCATCATCGGGGCTGCCGTCTCCTTCCTGACCCGGGACCAGCCTAACGTGCAGTTCTGCATTGTGGCCCTGGTCATCATCTTCTGCAGCACCATCACCCTCTGCCTGGTGTTTGTGCCAAAGGTACGGGGCAGGTGCCAGCAATCCCCCCGCCCTCACCACCCTGGCGTCTGGCCTCTGACTCCATCACAAGGGCATTGCTGTGTTTCTCTCACTTTCTACAAGTTTTATACACTTTTTTTTTTTTAAATGATGAACACAATTCACATCACAGAAAGTTTGGAAAATGCAGAAAAGCAAAAAACCAGATTTTTCAGAAATCTCACAGTCCTGCCACCCGAAAATAATCACTGTTAATATTTTGGTTTGGTTTTTTACTGTTAATATTTTTGATGTGTTTCCTTCCAGCTTCTTTTTTAATGGTTTAGGGCACTGATGCTTTCTCAGATATAGCTGTAATTATAGCACACTTTGCAATTTGCCTTTTTGACTTAACTTTTGCCCTTTGTATCTTCCCACATTCATTACCATTGTTGAGGGGATGTTCCATAATTTACTCAACCACTTGATCCCTTACTGGTGAGCATTACAGTTGTTTGAAGATTTTTTATATTATAAATGAACTTTTTTTTCTACATAATACATTTTCCTTGTTTCCAATTATTCCCTTAAGGTAGAGTCACAGAATTAGTATTAGTGGGTCAAAAGGAATAACCATTTTTAACAACCACTTATGTTTTTCATTTGTCTGAAGGGCTGACCTGAGAGATATTTTCCAAACATTATCCTACCCAGCAGTGGGCAGGTGAATCAGAGGCCTTGACCCCTGCAGTAGGCTGATCTGTGTAGAGGAAAACCTGACCTTGGTAGGTCTCAAGAGTAAAAGCAGCAGCAGGAAACAGAGGTAGTTGAGAAGTCATTGACCCAAGTTAGGGAGTGTCTGCCTTAGAGAAAGGGGAGAGGAGAGATCACTGGGGGTCCCATGGCTCCTCCAGCCTCCTGGGCGCCCAGTCAGTCCCTAAGCAGTGTCAGCTCTGCTCTAGAACACCTCTGGCATACACTCCCTCCTTTAGTAGTCAACACTTTCCCAGGCTCCAGGCTCACACCACAGCTTCTCTGCCTGCATTCTGACTTCCTCTCCACCCTGTGAAAGATGCCAGATGATTCTAAGCCCAGCTCTGACGGGGTCACTCTGCTTTGTCACCACCCCTGATAGCTCCTCATTGCCTTCCTGGCTCCAGGATCAAGTCCCCGACACTGGGCTGGCTTTCAGGACCATTGGATCTCCTTGTCTCCCCCAGAGAACTCTGTCCACCATCCAACTGCCCTTCTCTATAAGTGCCCTGAGCCCTAGGCCTCCCTGCATTTGCATATGCCATTTCTTCCCCCTGGACTTCCTTTACCGTCACCATCCTCACCCCCCAGCACCATGGTGAGCACTCTGCCCTGAATGCCTCTGGCCTGGTAAAGATCCTTCCTCCATCCCTGCCCCTCACCTCTGAACCATAGGTCCTGGTGGACAGAGGCCGTGGCCATGGTTCTAACAAGCACAAGCCTTCACTTTCCTCCCATTGTCTTCACAGCTGTCACCTACAGCTGTTTATTTTCTACATGGAGCTGGGCTAAGGCAGAGTGAGGCTCAGCTGGAGCCAGGCCTGAGGGGCCCTGGGTGGCCTCTGCAGGATAGCTGGGATGCGGGTGCAATCAGGATCAGGAGACCAGACATCTAGTGGCAAGGAAGAAAACCAAGACTCTGCAAGGGCAAGGGGGCTGCCCAAGGGCACACACAAAGGAGGGACAGAAACAAGTCTGAACCCAGGGCTCCAGACTCCCAGCCTGTGTCGTTCCTGGGGCCCCATGTTGCCTCCAGCGCAGGACCCGCTGGAAGCAGCTGGATGGGCATGGGAGGAAGGGCCCCAGGGTCCTCTTTTCAGCCCCACCTTTGTCCTTTCAGCTCATCACTCTGAGAACAAACCCAGACGCAGCAACTCAGAACAGACGATTCCAGTTCACTCAGAATCAGAAGAAAGAAGATTCTAAAACCTCCACCTCAGTCACCAGCGTGAACCAAGCAAGCACGTCCCGCCTAGAGGGCCTGCAGTCAGAAAACCATCGCCTGCGAATGAAGATCACAGAGGTACCTCCCACAGCACTGGTCGCCAGGGCCCCTTCCTCCCATTTGAGTCCCTCTGCCCTGTGCAGGGACTTTCCGGGCTGCCGCTCCCCACCACGTCCCCTCTAGAGCATCCCCACATCATGGCCGTGCAGTCCCATCTACCGTCGTTATGGCTGCAAGAACCAAAAGGAACATGATCTAGACAGATACGGTTTGTCAGAATCTGACAGGAGTTTATTACCCACCTAGCCCAGGCTCTGGGGTCCAGCAATGCCCGATTCAAGATATCCTCAGAAAGAAAGGAGTTCTTAAAGATTTGTGATTATACTAGTGAGTTGGGAAAACTCAGTTTTCCACCTGGGGCCAGGGCAGGGGCTGGGCCGGGGGCTCTGACTCAGCGGGAGCCTTTGTTTTCTAGCTGGACAAAGACTTGGAAGAGGTCACCATGCAGCTGCAGGACACGCCAGAAAAGACCACCTACATTAAACAGAACCACTACCAAGAACTCAATGACATCCTCAACCTGGGGAACTTCACTGAGAGCACAGGTAAGAGGAGGTGGGACCCCTGGGTATGAGACACTAGCCGTCCATTTTACAGATGAAGAAACTGAGGCTCAGAGAGGGGGGTGGGGCAGGTCTGAAGTCACACAAGCCAAGCTGGAGTATCTGGAACCCACATCTACTGAGTGCAGTTCAGTGTTTGTTTGGAGCCCCACCTGGGGATCCACCTATGCACGGGGCTTCTTTTTCTCAGTCCCTTGGGCTCCAGTTCCATGTGTACCCCACATGGCCAGCATTCCCAACGTTCTGACTGGGGGCACATTGTTCTTAGTGAATAATGTACTCATAATTCTTCCAACATTTCACAGTTTCAAACACACCTCATCAACGTACAGGAAAGGAACGGTCAGTAAGATGACATGACATTCGATCCCACCAACCACCTGGGAAATAACACAGTCCATTTTTTGCCTACATTTAGGCAAAATTTTAAAAAGATTACCAGTGTTGATAAGAGCGTATGGAAATGGACACTCTCCTGCAATGTTTTGGAAGTCGGTCTGGCACTCTCCAGAAGTCTGATGTTAAGCCCCTTGACTAGCAATTCCCCTAGCGGGAGGCTTCCCCTTGGAAATAATCCCACAGGGTCAAAGGTATAGATGCATAGTGCTTATCATAACACTACTTGTAGGCGAGAAAAGCTGGAATTAACTTACATGTTCATCATTTGGAGTGGTTTCATGAATTATGATACAGCAAAACAAGGCATATAATATGGTTATTAAAAAGTAAGGTGCATCTCTTTGTACAGATATGGAAAGATCTCTAAATGAGAAAAGCAGTATGAAGACAAGCATTATGATACAATATGCACACACATGTATGTGTATATATGTGTGTGTGTGTGTGTAAGTGCATTTTTCAAAAGGTCTGGTAGAACAAACACCAGATTGTTAACAGTATCCACCTGTGGGAAAGGGACAATATGTGTGGAGAGTGGGTGAGAAGGGATTCTTTTATGTTTCATTTTATATACTTCTCTACTGTTTGCATCTTGTCATTAGCATATATTCATTAATTTTATAAAATTTGTTTAAATCAATGAAAAATCTTTAGTTTTATTCTTATTACAAAAGAATTATTATATAATTCTTATTATATTAGATGTTGATTGTTTAAAAATGTCTAGATTCAGATAAGTAAAAAGGAAACTGAAAGAATAGAAATTATTCCTGATTATTTTAGTATCTAGTAAAGGTGAGCATTTCAAATTAGTGGAGAAAAGTGAATTATTCAATAAATTTCATTGGGATAAATGGGCAGCCATCTGGAAAAGAATAAAGTTAGATCCTTACCTCACAACTTACACAAAAATAAATTCCAGATGGATAAAAGATTTAAATATAAAAAGTGAAAACCATGAATGTACTAGAAGAAACCATAGGAGAATTTCTTTTGTAATCTCAGCAGGAGGGAAACCTTTTCAGTTTGATGCAAAACAGAGAAACCATAAAAAAAAAGTTGATGAATTTAAATACAAAAGAAATTTTGTTAACAATGTGAAAGCCATCATAAGTACAGTCAAAAAATCAAACTAAGCCAAAAAATATTATCTCAGGTAATAAGCTTATTCTCTTATATAAAAAGAAATTATATGTAATTATATACAAAGTATATGTAACTATATACAAACTAATAAGAAAAAGACCAACAAACCAAAAGAAAAATGGGCAAAAGAGAGTTCTCATTAAAGGAAATACAAGTGGTTCTTATGTTTATGAAAAGATGCTCAGTCTCCCTCCTCATTAAAGGAATGCAAATTAATTTGCAGTGAAATACCATTTTTACCTATAAGACTAACAAAGATCAGAGATCAAAAAGTTGCTGAGAGTGGGAGGCAACAGGTGGCGAAACACTGCTGCCCGAAATAGAAATTGTTCTGACCCAGCAACTCCAATTTGGGAATTTATCCTAAGGATATACAGTCAACTCTCATTACTCACAGTAATCGCGTTCTACAAAGTCCCTGTGAACTGTGAATTCCTAGCGGAGACACAGGGTTAGGTTCCTGCAAGCATCTCCCAGGTGGACATTTTCATCAACTGATCAATACATAATTTTGTTTTATGTGTGTTTCTACTGGAAGACACCTTGTTTAATAAACATTGTTGATTCATTAACACTGAACTCATAGCCAACAGCACTGTAACTCATATTTGAACAACACATCTAACACACATTTTCTCCATCTGGCACATCACGGCTTAGGAGAACAATGGATAGCACTTCAGCACTAGGCTTGGGAGCCATTTTAAACAGTGAAAGCACCAACACAACGCACAAAAATGTGAAAAACGTGGTACTTCATAGACCACAATAAGGATACTTATTTATAATATGAGAGGTAAAACAAGAAGGCAGAGCCTTGTTCAACCTCAGCTGGGAGAGCGACTCAGATTTTTGATGCTCTGTGTGTGTTATCGAATGACAGTGAAAGCACCACGAGTATTGACTCTGGGGTTACAAATAAATTTTAGCAAGTAGGCGAGTTCACAAACACAGAATCTATGAACGAAGAGGATTGACTGTATTCACATGGATGCAAAATGACACACATGTAAGGCTGCCCTAACCCTAACCCTGCAGCAGAAAAAGAAAACACCCATACTCTTTTTTAATATAAATTTACTTATTTTGGCTGTGTTGGGTCTTAGTTGCTGCGCATGGGCTTTCTCTAGTTGCGGCAAGTGGGGGTACTCTTCATTGTGGTGCACAGGCTTCTCATTGCAGTGGCTTCTCTTGTTGCGGAACATGGGCTCTAGGCACGCGGGCTTCAGTAGTAATGGCTCGAGGGCTCTAGAGCGCAGGCTCGGTAGTTGTGGCGCACGGGCTTAGCTGCTCTGCGGCATGTGGGATTCCTGGACCAGGGCTTGAACCCATGTCCCCTGCACCATGTCTTAACCACTGTGCCACCAGGGAAGCCCAACACCCATACTCTTTTCCAAACCAAATGAATCCACATCTCTTAGGTGGGGGCCATGTTTTTACATTTCATATTTCTTTAGTTCTCTCCAGGTGGTTCTGAAGCACAAAGATGGTTGAGAGCATCATGTTTTGTGGCTACACAGTATTTCTGTGAATGGAGGCCCCATACGTGCATATTAGTCTGTAACTAATCCACTATTACCCGACAAATTCGGGTTAGTTTCAACTTTCTGATATTGTAAACAATGTGGATTTGAACATCTTTTGTATAGTTTCACAAACATCCTTAATTATTTCTTTGGGATAGTTCCTGAAAGTGGAAATTCTGGGTAAAACACATACTTTTTATAGTGTTTGATGCTTATTGACAGTACCTGCCAGAAAGATTATGCCGGTTTATACTCCCACCAGCAGTTTACTATTATTATTATTTTCAGACTTAGCAATCTTATGGAAAATATACCTTGGAGTTTTTTTCTTTGTCATTATATTCCTAATGCACCCGTGAAAAGGACATTCATATTAGAACCTCTCATTTCTAAGTTATGTTGCCTACATTTGTCGACTCGATTCCCTTTTTTTCTTGGAGAAAGGGAGGTCCCACGGCACACTATCCACATCCCCAGCACGCCACTTCCATCCCTGGACAGGGGCTTCTCGGCTCCCTGCCTTGGTCTCAGGAGAGTGGCTCAGGGACCATGGCTTAGAGAACACAAAGGGAAGATGGGCTCTTTTGCATTCTCTCTCCTTGGGCAGTATCCTAAAAATGACTGCACTGTTGATTTTTAAAAATTAAGTTTACAGAATTATTGCAGTATTGTTGTTTTGCATTCAGATGGCGGAAAGGCCATTTTAAAAAACCACCTCGATCAAAATCCCCAGCTACAGTGGAACACGACAGAGCCCTCTCGAACATGCAAAGATCCTATAGAAGATATAAACTCCCCAGAACAGTAAGTACCTTCTCCTTCAGAATTACTGCCCAAGACTACATTCCTCCTACACAAGAGTTTACATTTGGCACCATGTTTTCACATGCATTACTTTGTTTGAACTCTATAGTAATCTCATGATGCAGGTCAAATTACACTGCTTATATTACACATAAGACGACTAATATTCAAAGAGGGGAGGTGACTTGCCAAAGCTTACCGGTTGCTAAATGCAGGAGATGATAGGATTTGAACTTGGGTCTCTCCAACATCAAATCCCATGTTCTCTGCCTTTGTTACATATAAAATGAATACATTTACTTAACACCAATTTACTGAGACCTACTATGTATCAAGCACAGCACTGAAGAAAACAGACAAAAATCCTTCCCTTCATGGAGTTTACATTCTATCTGGGAAGACAATAACTTAACAAAAAAGCAAAACCTCGTATGTTATGTTAAATGATAGGTGCTTTGGAGAAAAACTAAGCAGGAAAGGAGTTAGGGAGTATAATTTTACACAGGGAGGTCAGAGCAAACTTCGTGAGGTGACATCTAAGCAAAGACCTGGACATCTCCAGTAGCTTTGTCCCCACTGGCAATTTTTAGTTCTTCCCAGTTTACAGCGGATTAGAAGCAGCAATTAGAAATGTCAACTCTGAAACTTGTTCCCTGGGAAGTGACAACAAGGGGAGAGGAACCAGCAAAGGGAGCCCAATCACCAACTGCAGTGTCATTTGGGGCCATTTAGTCTTAGAGCTAGTAGCCTCTCAACCCAATTAGCTCCAGGGCCTCGCAGCTGACAGTCCAATATAATTACTGATGGTTACATGGCATTCATCAGTGGTCTACCTATTAGTTGCCTGCACCACAGTGCAAGCACCTTTAGGGTAAGGTTTAAGTCCTTCCTATGTCCCTTGGACTGAACACAGCTTCCAGCACTGAGTAGGTTTTTGGCAATGAATTAATGAAAAGGCAAACAGGATCCCAGCAGACAGCAGAATGTGTGGCTCTGACAACCACACACAGATGCCCACCCTGCCTGGGATGCTCAGACAGAACACCCTTTCCCAGGTCAAGTTCATTCTTCAGCTCCCCATTTTCCTGGACTCTGCCAACACCAATGACATTATACAAGCTCAACTTTAATTTCCAAATGAAGTCTCCAACACACTAATCTCTCATGAGCACCTGGGAAGGGTCTCTTGGGAGAAGCCCTTCTGGCCAGCAGGTCCTTAGGGAGTGGGGGCAGCACTGCATCTGTCCCCATCCATCTCAGAACCCCACCAATGCATACACCCCAGGGCACACCCTGGTGGGCTGAGGCAGCCTCTGTGAGTTGATTTGCCACCCCACAAAGCACTGTGGTTCAACAGAAGAAGCAAGAGTCACACCTTCCCCAGTTCTGGTTGTTTCTGTGAGCAAGTTACACAAACTCTGTACCCTTCTCTCATCTTTATAATGGGAACAGCAGTGCTTCTTTTGCCTATTGGGTTTTGTGAAGGTCTGGGGTTTTTCCCACCTGAGTTGCCAGGCCTGGGGAACACAAGGAGGCCTGAGAGTTCAGGGAATGCAACCTCCCAGATGCAGTGGGAAACTGCACAAAACACAGCCGAGCAGGGGAGCAGTGGCCTGGGCACATCCGCCAAAGCAGCCTTCACAACAAATAAGGTGATTTACTCTCCTGCCTGCTGGTCATGAGGACTGATGAGAAGGCAAGCGGAACGGTGTGGCAGCGAGCAGGTAGTCAGAAGGCTGCTCCCTCTTCACTCCGCTCCTCCATCAGTCCTGTTTACCCAGCCCCTGACTCAGCCCGGCCTCAGATTTTTTTCTGGCTGCCTTTCTGGGAATTTACCAGAAATTCCTTGTTCTGGGGGCATAGAGAAGGAAGGAGCTCACTCTCTGAGGGGGTTAGCACAAAAATGATGACATTTAAACTGGATCTTAGAGGGAAAGCAGTCATCAGATGGGAAAGCAGAGGAAGAGCTATCTAGGCCGGGGAAACAGCATGTGCAGAGGCATGGAAGATGCCTCCCCATAAGCAGGGTTTTAGGGGAAACTAGCCACCAGAGGGTAATAAGGTTTTCGGGGAGAGGGGGTAGAAGGTTCACCTGGAGAATTTGACAAGAGGCAGATCTTGGGGAGCCCTGAATGCCCCATCCCAGTGTTGGAGAGAAAACGCTAGTCACCAAAGAAGCCGAAAGACCAAAAAGGAACCTTTTTGGAATTGGCCCAGCAAGAGGGACTGAGGTCCTGGACAAGAGACAGTGGCAGAGAAGCCAATAAGGAAGGACAGAGCAGCTGAGAAGCCTTTCCGGGATGGAACCCAAAGCCAAGGCCATTCGGGGACTGGCAAGAGTAGCGAATGAGAGCTGTCTGGGTTTGCAGCAAAGCCCTGTTCGAAGGGCAAGGCCTTATTCTTAAAAATCACTGGAAGCTCGAGAAGCCTGCCTCCTCCTTGCTGCCGTTGCTCTGGTTATTCCCGGGGCAGCAGCTGGCACAGGCAGGCCTGCATTAAACACCTGCCAGATGGATGAGTGGTTAGATGACAGGATGGACAGATCTTGGATTCAGAGAGAAGTTAGCTTCTTAGCACCACCATCAGCTTCTTAGCCAAAGCGACTCCAAAGGCCTTCCTGGTGAGCAGCCCACTAGCCTTCACTAACACCCCCCTTCTTTCTCTCCCTGCCACAGCATCCAGCGCCGGCTGTCCCTCCAGCTCCCCATCCTCCACCACGCCTACCTCCCGTCCATTGGAGGCGTGGACGCCAGCTGTGTCAGCCCCTGCGTCAGCCCCACCGCCAGCCCCCGCCACAGACACGTGCCACCCTCCTTCCGAGTTATGGTCTCGGGCCTGTGAGGGCGGGAGGTCTGGGGCCGGGGCCTCCCCCGCGACGGAACCACACGGAGCAGAGGCATCTGCTACAGGAACCCTGTCAGCTCTGGCCGCGGAGAAGCTGGCGCCACGGCTGGCCTTGCGGGACTGCTCGATGGCACGGAGTGCACAAGATGGGGGGCACTTGGCACCTGACCTCGCGCCTTATTTGTGAAGTTTTCATTCTTTCACAAAGAAGAGGAATGAAAATGACTTCTTCCTTAATGTCTGCAAAGGAGGAGGAGCTAGGATATTTGAAACTTGGCAAAAAAAAAAAATCCTAGACAAGGAGAAAGTCACTAGAACTCCAGCTAGAAGTCACTGAGTGGCCCTGAGCAGCCTTGAAAAGAGGCGAGGGGCTTCTGGAGAAACCGCCTCTGCCTCTGCACACATGCCACCGGCTGTGGCCTCCCAAGCCAGCCCTTCTCCCCTCTGGGGAAGGAGGTGGGCAGGGCAGCCAGGCTCCCAGCTGCCAGTCCAGCCAACCCCAGCCTTCCTGGAACAGGGAGTCTACAGGGAGGGCAGCCGGGCACAGCTCTGTGGGCCGAGGGCTGGGGTACCGGAGCAGGCTGACTCGCATGCCTCCCGGTGGGACTTACTCTCTGATAAATGCCACACATTAATACAATAACACCCGTTCCGGGACCGTGGGGATTTAGGGCACGTCACTGCAGACACGCTCTGCAGCATTCACCCACAGTCGGCCATGCACCCACCACGTCAGCCACGTCCTTGTGTTCGTATCAGGTGTTCCCCATAATAAGGGGGGCACCCGAGCTAATCATAGAATGTCTGTTCCCAGCAAACACGATAAAGAAAGATTGTGCACTTTAACCTCTCTCATCAGGGCCCAAGGGCTGGCTGGGGTTTTGTTTTGTTTTTTTCCACTGACTTTGTTTCTGACCAAAGTGAATCAGGGGCATCTGCTAGAAGACATCCCTGTAGTCACGGGGAGAGAGTTGCTAGCTGCGGGCTTCCCTTAACTTCCAGAAGGCAGCCTTCATTGGGACAAGCCGGCAAGCTCTGCCCTTGGGGGGTCCCAGGGGTGATCAGTCAGCACACTGATTCTCATTCATAAGATCACTCTTCCCTTTTAAACGAACCCCAAAGAGCACTGGCCTGGGAGTCACAAAGACCTGGTTTCAAGTCCTTGCTCCACTGCTGACTCCCTCCATGACCTTGGGCAAGTCACTTGTGTCTCTCTGAGCCTCAGTTTCCCCTAACAAACTGGGGTTGAAATAACACCTGTCCTGCCCTACGTCACAGGGTCACTCTGAAGATCAAAACTTGATCTCATCCAGGGAAGCTTCATACCAAACAGTGAAGCGGCCCTGACCCATGAGGTATCAGGATGACCATGACCTTCAGCCCTCAGGACAGACGGGGCTGTGGCCCAGAGATGCTCCCAGCACAGCCCTATACCAGTATCCACCTGGCTGGAGAGAGGTGGATCCCGATGATTTCTGTGACATTCCTGGGACAGGTTCATTTGCTAAAGAAAGGCCTGAATGACAATGTCCCGGACGTCTGCACAACTGAGCAGTCGCTCAACTCCCTAAAGAACCCTAATGGCAGCTTCAACAGGCAGGCAATAATCTCTTCCCAGACCACTGAAGTCAGGAATATAGTGTTGTCACCACCAGGGTTTGACAAAAGGGCCCATGGGAATCCTACCATCACCAACATTTCAAAACACCCTATTTCACGTAGCATAGAGTTCTCCTCCCCTCCCCCAAAGAGAGGTTATGGAGGTACTGTAGCTTTTAGGGAGGAAAAAAATGTTTAAAAAAAATGTTAACACATCACAGGTCAAGTTGAAGTCACTGTCTGTTTAGGCACTAAAAATCGGTGTTGTTACTCACTGTGTATTACAGTATTTACTTTCTTTCTTGATTTCACCAAACCAGATTTAATTTAAAGGACCACATTAATTTTTCAAAGGGAAAGAAACAATTCATTGTACATAATGTATACACGCACACAGAAACAATACCTGTAGAAATATTAATCCAGCATAGCAGGAAAGAAAAAAAGAAAAAGCACTGGACAGTCGGAGGTGAGTGTGTGCATCTGTGACCCACTGTGACTCCTGAGCGTGCACAGTCTTCTAGGTTAACCCACACAGTACATTCTCTGTCTTAATGATACTGTAGGTTCACCTGTTTTTTTTTAAATTTCCCCACAAATAACAAGACCCACAGAAGTGACTCTAGCTATTTAACGGTTCTGTCCTTTTATATGCAGCAAACGCCATACACTTCCGAAGAGGCTTCAGCCTGAAGGTGTTTTCCAATGTTAGTGCACAAACGCTTTAAATTAGACTGGAACTGCCAGAATCAAATGTAAATGAGGAATTTCTCGTACCCCTATTGCATGGTATCAATTTTTAATAAATTGTTGCAAATTTGTTTTTATGAATAAAAGGAAGAAAACTGTTGTCTTTAATGCCTACTCTTCCCAAAGTGCAGGTCAAATCAGGCCATATTCTCCTGCTAAGAAACTCAGGGAAAGGCTCTGGGGGTGCCTGCTCAGCATGTTCCCTTCCTTCAGAAGCTGCCTTCCCCTGGCTTCTGCAGGCAGTAGCAGAGCAGCCTGTTACCATGTGGTGATAGATCCAGGGGTGAGAACCTGGCCTGAGCTGGGCCAGTAAGTCCCTTCCCCATGCAGAGAAATTAGCCACGAAAGAGAAAAATGAAGCCAGCACAGAGAAACAGGATCAAGGGATGGGTCCTGATGGTGTCCAAGCACCGGGTCAGCTGTTCCTGAAAGCCAGCAGCACCCTCGTCTTTCCCGTGCTGGGATGTTCAGACCTTCCTCAGATTCTCAGTTCTCCCAATAAATCACCCTTTTTGCCTAGGTTAGTTCAAGTTCAGTTCCCATCAGTTGCAACCAAAAGGTTCCTGACCAGTCTAGAACGCTCACTGCCTCCCCAGGCCCGACTACCTGCCTCTCCAGCCCCGAGTCCAGGCCATGACAGCCTCTCATGGTCTCATGCTCCTTCCAGACTCATCAGCCTCCTCCCCCAGACCCTATAGACTGTTTGCACTTCCTCCACTGCACTGGGCCCTCAGCCTGCAGCTCCATCTCAGGTCCACCCCATCCTTCAATGTCCCATCCAAAACCTCCTCTTAGTTCCCCCGACTTGAAATCCTCTCTTCCACTGTCCCTGTCTCACCACACCTGGTAAAGCCTCACACTAGCCCTTCCTCTCCACCCCAGACAATGAGCTCCCCAAGGATGGGAGTCACATCTACTTCCTCAATGTCCTACCCAGCATCAGGCCCTCCCACTGGCTCAGAACATTCCTTGATGAGGCTTTTGCAGAGTTGAACATTTTGGCTGAGGCGTGTCCATATTGGTTTCCGGGTCTGGAAGACAGAGCAAGGCCAGAGTGGCCTAAAGAGGGCAGGGAGGCCTGAAGCCATGTGACTAGGTGTGAGCCCCAGATACGGGGGGCTGGACCCAGTCTAGAGTTTCCTAGTACACAGGGTCCTCAGTGGTGAGCCTGCTGAGGAAAAGGGCTCCTGAATACTGACCACCTTTTAGACAGCCCTCCTATGGGATACAGGATGTTCAAGGGTGGGGAACAGGTCCAACAAGATAAGGAACTTACCCAAGGTCACCTAGGGAGTCATGGCAAGGGCAGGAACAGAAACAGAATCCTGATTAGTCTTCCTTCTCGACCTGACCTAGACTCACAGAAATTAAGAGCTAAGAAGGAACTGTGGGGTCATCTTGTCCAACCCCTCACTTTACAGGTGGGGCAAGTGAGGCCCAGTGACAGGAGCCAAGGCCGACCTGAAGGTCCTGAGAGGGCAGGCATGGAACCTGGATTTCCTGGCTTTAAGATCTAGCTCCTTCCTCACGCCTGACCCAGAACCACAGATAGAACAACCACAGCAGGGAGACATTTCTCCACCACCTCAGGTTCTTGAGAAATCTTCCTATTTTCCCACTAAATATGGAATCAACTGATAAAAAATTTGGTCTTTCCTCTGAACACATCTGAAAAAAGAGAAATGTCCACAGGGCTGAAGAAAATGCTCATCACCATCATCAGTAGAGTTCTTCATGCCTTGCTTGGCCTTGGGGAACAGGTTTGTGGTAACAAAAGTCTAAAGGAACCAAGAGCAGCCGGCACTTACTTCTTTCAAATAGGGTTCTCTTTGTCTTCCTTTGGTTATGATTGGCTTATTTCTGAGGTAAAACTAAAATAAAAAATATTTCCCAGCCTCAAAGAGAGGCAATCTGGAGTTGAGAAAGTACTGCTTGGTGGTCTCCTCACCCTGTGCTGTGCAGACAACCCTGGGATCTGCTCTGAAGGAAGATGGGAAGAGGTTTCTAGAAACAGGGAACCTGGGGCACCAGCCAGAGCCCTGACTTTCCAGGCAGTTCCCCACGCTCAGCAGTCTCCTCTCTACAAGGATCCTCCTGGGGCCTGACTCTAGAGGCTTAGAAGCCAGTGACACAGAGAGGAGGTGGTGCTGGGTTAAAAAAAAACAAAAAAAACACCAGTGGTCACTGGCTGCTCTGCCAATCCATCCTGTTCCTGCCCCTCCCCTGGCAGCACAGCCCTATGCACAGCAGCACAGGGGAGGAGAGGGACCTATGGGAGGGAATCTGGAGGGACCATCCTTGCTCCCATCCCTATACACAGGGATTGGCTCAAAGATGTGCTCATTACCTAAGCCCAGCCAATCAGATCCCATCCAGGGTTTTGGCCAGAGTTTTCAGGAGGTCTCAAACCTTGCCCTCCAACCAGAAAGAAATGAAAAGAGAGAAACTGAGCTCTGGTGACATCATTTGGGCTCAAGAATCAGCAATCCCTAAAGATACATCTGCCCTTGAGCTTCTCAGTTTTCAGCTAATATTATACATCTCTTTTTCTGCTTACAGAGTAGGGTTTCCATCACTTAGAACCAAAAGAAATCTGTGGGAATCAGGGGGTTCCACATGAGGGCTCCTTGTTGTCTGAAACCTCTGAGAATTCTGCCCTCTTCCCTTCCCGTAGCTTTGAGGAGACATTAGAGAAACAGTTCCCTGTTCCCACACACACCATTGAGCAGGGAGGGTGGGTAAGGGGCATGGGGGCCTTAGAAGCCTCAGGCGGCTAAAGAAGGGTCAGTGGGCCAGGCTGTGTAGCCCCAGGAAGGGCTCTGTGTCTGTTCCATGCTCTCTGCCCTTGTCCCCTGCCTGTGCCCCACCTCCCTGGCTGGTCACACCTTACTTGGCCCTGAGGAGCAGGGTTTGTGAGGTCCTGGGCAGTAAATGATTAACATATTCTCTTGAAGAGAAAATGAGTTCCCACCTCACCTCCACCCCATGCCCGAAACCCCTGCCAAGTCCCATAGGCTCAGTCATGCCTGGTCTGAACTTGTGTGGTCCTGGGTGGGTACTGCCTGAACATTACTATTCACCACCTGGTTCCTCCAGGTCTCACTTTCAGGAGCTCCAAGCCCCCAGTGGGGCATCCACTGAGCCCCTGCTCTTCGTCAGGGCCTGTGCTGGGCACCAGGAAACAACAGTGAACAGGACACAGGTCTCACAAAGCTCACAGAGTAATGGGGAAACAGGCGCATAAAGAAGAAAACGATGACAGCATATGATAAGCACTGAGCTCAGAATGCGGAGCCAGAGGATGCTTCCTGGCAGAGGGTGGAGGGGGTAACCTTCATACAGGGCTGGCTTTGTGGGCATATGACCGGTATAGTTGCTTCTAAGAGTCCCATACTTAGCTTAATGTTCTCCTGTCGTTTTAAAATTCTTAATAACTTTTGAACAAGAGGCCCAGCATTTTCATTTTGTACTGCGCCCCACACATTATGTAGCCAGTTCTATACCTAGACCTGAAGATGAGAAGGAGCTAGCCAGCAAGAGACAGAAGGAAGAGGAAGGCATGGGGTGGGAACTGGCAGTCCAACTCCTGGAGAATGCACACACCTGCTGGGGCTGCCCCCCGTCCCCCTCCCCAGGCCAACTGGGTTGTCCCATGTTAATCATTTACACTGGAATCCATGTGGCCTCAGATCCCTGAAGGTTCAGACAGCATTCATCCTGTGTATGATGACATGGGTCATAGATCAAAATCTTCGATCTGGGTGCGGATTTCTACTCCCCCACTTAGCTGGCTATGTGGCTTCAGATGATTCACTCAACCTCTCTGAGCTCCTGGTTCCACATCTGTGAAATGGGCATGATATTTCACCCAGGGGCT